TCGCAAAGCTATATTATCCGCATTTTACAACATTTCGCAACGAAACTTCGGAATATTACTAATTTTGTGATGCTCTTTCAAGCTGTGATAAAATTTTTCTCTAGACTTGTTGAAATCTAAATTTTAGTCAAAAGGTGAAAGGTCCATTGGTATAGACAATTTCCAATCCCTTATCATGACAAATTTATAGATATAAGGTACCTTTATGAAATATTTATCAAACTTAAAATTTTGATAACTGGGCGCAATTAGCCTGCGTCAAAGACCTTCCACAGGCTAGGGCGCAATACGAGGTATCGCATCATGTTGCATATCACTATGTGTACTCGTCGTGATTTTGTGTCTCACTATTCCGGGAAAATTAGAACAGTTTCCCCTTTAAATTACTACATGAAGTGAAGAGAATAATAACATTATTCTCTCAATATGCAGCCATGCAGGTGTAGTAGTTGATCTATACTATACGTCAGTGGACAGTGAAACCATTAACTAATTGACGAAAACAGATCTCACTGTCTGAACACATAAGCAAAGGCCAAACGAAAAATAGCTTTATGCAGAATAGTTGACCCTCATCGAGGTTTATTGACCTCTTTAGTTTCATTTTAACTTTGATGTTTATATCACTTCCGCATTTTACATGCAAAGACACGTCGCCTTGTTGTATAAACGTCTATTTTCTGGAGTGTATTCTAAACCTTCAATCAGCTCTATAGACTATACTGTACCATTCCAAAACATGGCTTCAAAATATCACGACGATTGGCAGTCCAGTAAGAGAACAGTCTTACAAAGAAATGCGTATATGTTTGATAACGAATTGATGAGCGATGTATCTTTCACTTGTGGGGAATCAAGTCGCATATTTCATGCGCATAAATATGTGCTTGCCACGAGCAGTGCTGTGTTTTTTGCCATGTTTTATGGCGATTTAGCTCAGAAAGAATCTCCCATTTGCCTACCAGATGACAACGAAGAAAACTTCAACGAATTTCTGCGCTACCTCTACACTGACGATTGTAAAATCACCGCAGAGAACGCGATTGGAGTTTTGTACTTGGCTAAGAAGTATCTTATGTCGTCTTTGACAAAGAAGTGTTGCAAGGTTCTAGAGGCAAGCATTAAACCTGATAATGTTTTCATGGTGTTGGAGCAAGCAATACAATTTGATGAACAAAAGTTGGAAGCGAAGTGCTGGGATATTGTATCGAAGAAAACTCAGGAATGCATAAACTCGGAAGCATTCTGTAATGTCGGATCTCATACCCTCAATGCTTTGTTAAAGAGCGAGACGTTGACAGTAACAGAAGTAGAATTGTTCAAAGCGGTGTTAAAATGGGTAGACGGCGAATGTGCAAGACAAGGTATAAATATTGAAGAAGACAAAACAGTAAGAAGACGTGTTCTAGGGGATAGTGTATATGAAATCCGTTTCCTTGAAATGTCACAGGAAGATTTCGCGAAATATGTCTCTTCTACTGGAATACTTACAGAGACAGAACTTGTTTCTATTTTCCAGAAATTTAGCGGGTTAGATGTGGCTGGCTTGGAATGGAAGGAGCAAAAGAAAAGGCGATCTTATATAGTCGGTTTCAGCAGATTTGACGTTGCCAATGGTATTAAACAGGCTTGGAATTACAACGGAAGTAGTTCCGATGCCCTTACTCTGACGGTCAATAAAGCTGTTCTGTTTCACGGTGTTCGCTTGTTTGGTGACTCCAATTGTAGTCAATACGTAGTCAAATTTCGGATCAAAGCTCAAAATCTATCAAGGATCTACACCTCAGAACAAGACAATGATGGTGTGTGGGGTTATGATGTCATGTTGCCCAAACCAATTTCTCTACAGCCAGATGAAGAGTTCACAATAATTGCGACAATAAACGGACCACAATCCCAATGCGGTAAAAATGGAAAATCATCAGTAAAGAACGATGACACTGTCGTAACTTTTAAAAATGCACCTTACAGTTCTCATGGTTTGATTCCAAATTTTACAAATACAGATAATGGTCAATTTTACAAAATATTCCTTTCTAAAATCTAGAGAAAGATAATTGGACTTGGGCTTAGCCTGCCTCGGACAGTAAATTAATTGAATCACAATATCTAAATAACTAGCTAGTACTTGATATTAGCGATGTTTACATTTAGCACGGCCACTACCGTTACCTTTCACTGACTGAGTACACATGTCATTAGGTAATCGGATAGATTAAACCATTGAACTATAAGTAAACTGGAACGATAACTCCCATGATAAAGGCCTATGTTTGGGTAAAGCCAAATTTCGGGCGCTCAAGTATAGCCTGTTCGCAGGTATGTATACAAAAATAAATACACAAAATTTTTCACTAATTTAATCCTTAATTTTAACTTACTAAAGTACGTTTCTGGATGTTTGGGCTCCATTATCAACCGTCTCTGAACTCTTTCTGCAAAGTCTAAAAACTCAGAAAAACCATAAATTTTCGCGCGGTTTTTTGCCGAGTTTCGTTTTGTTCGTGTCATATTTTGGCAGTTAAACAACATTTGCTCACTTTATGTGCCTTATAAATAAAAGATGTGTTGTCTAAGTGTGCCCTAGGATGAATATAAATGCCTTGCAAGAAGTAAAAGTGAGAAAATGTTAACGATTTTTCAACTGTACTTTTCGTATCCATTTTGTAAAAAAGGACTGGCGCTACCTGCAGAAAACACTCATGACCGGCTTCAAAGATGGCGGCGAACTCATCGCCCCAGTTTACTTATAGTTCAATGGATTAAACGCATCTGATTGATTAATGGTCCCTAAATGGTAACGCGGTAGTGGTATTTAATGGTATAGGTAGGTAAAACTTTATTTGACTACGCTAGAAGAATGTTTGAAGCAAGAGAATGAAGCAAGAGAATGTTTGTTTCTTGCTTTGTCTGAAAGGCTGTTCCACAATTTTGCTCCTCTATAACTAAGACTTTTTTTTTAAGATATTCAGTATATTATAGTAATAAGAGGAAGACGTCCTTTGAAAAATGTCGGTTAGTCGTTTTGGCGCCAGTTCGTGAGTTATTTTATACTGTAACATAAGACTTGCTACGAAATGTGTTCTTTAAAGGTTTCCATTTCAATTCGTCTGGTAACGGTACTATGGTGAGATAATGGACCGGATTTATACTAGAGATGATTATCCATTTGCCGAATCATCCGTCTCATGCAGTGTAAGCAAACTGGGAACAACAAAACTTAACCCATTGTTTTGATTTCGGGATTTCTGCACGTCTGTGCATTTTGCGAACAGTAGAAAATTAAACTTCTGATGATCCAGACAAGATTTCTGAAAAATGTTTCCAGGTTTACAAACAAACTGCTGGGAACTTTGCATTGATTTTTACATTAACCCACGCAGGATTTTTACCACAGTATCTGGCGTTTTAACAATCGTCTCCAGAGCAAGAATAGCGCGACTATACAGACTATAAACTTAGGCAGTTAGGGTCTTAGGGACAGTTGATGGTGCTCATCTATGGAACTCTATTCCAAGCGAGTTTAAAGAAAGCAAATTCCTATCATATTTTCAAAAGAAATTTAGAAAATTGCTACTCAGATTTTTCAATCATAACAAAATATTTAATTGACAACTTGCATGTTAGACAAATTTTTGATCTAACCGATCTAGGCAAAAGAAAAGTAAATTCCCGTTAAGAACTTATTAAAATTAGTAAACTTGCAAAATTTGGTTGCGAAATGTTGTAAAGCTTGGAAAATATAGCCTTGCAAAGTTTGCATATTTTCAGTATATTTGT